AGTTTGTGGGATTACATGTCGGCTTTTCTACTGTGGACAATACAGGACTCCCCAACGCGCTCGCGGGTGACCCGGCCGCCGTCGGCCTCCTTAAAGAGCCACAGAAATTTTGAATTCAAATCTTTGGGATTACATGTCGGCTTTTCTACTGTGGACAATACAGGACTCCCCAACGCGCTCGCGGGTGACCCGGCCGCCGTCGGCCTCCTAAAGAGCCACAGAAATTTTGAATTCAGTTTTTGGGATTACATGTCGGCTTTTCTGTTGTGGACAATACAGGACTCCCCAACGCGCTCGCGGGTGACCCGGCCGCCGTCGGCCTCCTTCAAAGAGCCACAGAAATTTTGAATTAGTTTTTGGGATTACATGTCGGCTTTTCTGTTGTGGACAATACAGACTCCCCAACGCGCTCGCGGGTGACCCGGCCGCCGTCGGCCTCCTTAAAGCGCCACCGAAATTTTGAATTCAGTTTTTGGGATTACATGTCGGCTTTTCCATTGTGAACAATACAGGACTCCCCAACGCGCTCGCGGGTGACCCGGCCGCCGTCGCCGTCGTCGTGCGCCCCCCGACCGAGAATCCGTCCCAAGCGGGTCCCAGGCCCCTTCCCGAAGTCAAGCCAGTCTCTGTCGGTGGCGGCTTGGACGTTAATTTATGACACCGCGTGGATCGTTCAATTTTGACCGGTGTCCGCTCGTTGAAGTACCTGGGGGCTCTCGCCCGAATATGGAATAGTGGTTTCACGCCGTGGGTTCGTTCCTGTGGGTCCTGGGGCCTGAACTGCCCCCCCCAAGCGCGTTCAACCTTGAACGCCTGCGCTGGGGTCGCCGCCGCGTCGACGCGCACATCCTCCTGCTCCTCCTCTTCCTCCTCCGTTTCTTCGTGACGAGGAGGGGGGACATGAACACAAAGCGCGCAGTGACGCGATGAGGCGACGGGGGGGGATTACGTTTGAGAACAGACACCGCGTGCTTGCCAACTCCACGAAAGTCCGCAGGCCCCTTCTGGGGCCACCAGGTTACAAGTCATAGAACTGTAGAAGCTCTGCTGTATTGCTACATCCCTATCCCCCATCCTGCTCCTCCTCCTCCTCCTCCTCCTCCTCCTCCTCCTCCTCCTCCTCCTCCTCCTCCCCCCCATCCTCATCGTTTTCCTCCTCGAGTGTCATCGCTGCACCACAACGCCTGCGTGCACCACAACGCCCGTATACACTGCAACAGTCGCATGCACCAGCGTGCCCGTGTACACCTCAATGCCTGCGCGCGCGACAGCGCCTGTGTACCCCGCAACGGCTTTCGGAGGCTCTCGGAGGCTCTCAGAGGCTCTCAGAAACTCCCGGAGGCTCTCAGAGGCCCTCAGAGGCTCTCAGGGGCTCTCGGAAGCTCTCAGAGGCTCTCGGAGGCTCTCGGAAGCTCTCAGAGGCTCTAGGAAGCTCTCGGAGGCACTCGGAGGCTCTCATAAGCTCTTGCGTAGTGGCTCTCAGTGGCTCTCAGAAGCTCTCAGAGTCTCTCGGAGGCTCTCGGAGGCGTTCGGAGGCTCTCAGAGGCTCTCAGAGGCTCTCAGAAGCTCTCAGAAGCTCTCAGAGGCTCTCGGAAACGCCTCAGAGGCTCTCAGAGGCTCTCGGAGGCGTGTCAGAGGCTCTCAGAGGCACTCAGAGGCACTCGGAGAAGCCGCAAAGGTTCTGAAAAACTCTCAGAAGTTCTCAGCAGCTCCCAGAGGCTATCGCAAGATCTCAGGCGCTCCCAGAGGCTCTCAGAGGCTCTCAGAGGCTCTCAGAAGCTCTCGGAGACTCTCGGAAGCTTTCAAAGGCTCTCAGATGCTCTCAGAGGCTCTCTCGGGGGCTCTCGGAGACTCTCAGGGGCTCTCGGAGGCTCCCAGGGGCTCTCGGAGGCTCTCAGAGACTCTCGGGGGCGCTCAGAAGCTCTCAGAGGCCCTCAAAGTCTCTCGGAGGCTCTCGGTGGCTCTCGGTGGCTCTCGGAGGCTCTTAGAAGCTCTGAGAAGCTCTCAGAAGCTCTCGGATGCTCCCAGAAGCTTTCGGAAGCTCTCAGAAGCTCTCGGAAGCTCTCGGGGGCTCTCGGAGGCTGTCAGAGGCTCTCGGAGGCTCTCGGAGGCTCTCGGAGGCTCTCAGACGCTCTCGGAGGCTCTCGAGGGCTCTCGGAAACTCTCGGAAGCACTCGGAGGCTCTCGGAGGCTCTCAGAAGCTCTCGGAGACTCTCGGCAGCCCTCAAAGGCTCTCAAATGCTCTCAGAGGCTCTCGGAGGCTCTCGGAGGCTCTCAGAGGCTCTCAGAGGCTCTCGGAAGCTCTCGGAAGCTCTCACAAGCTCTCGGAGGCTCTCGGAAGCTCTCGGAAGCTCTCGGAGGCTCTCAGAGGCTCTCAGGGGCTCTCGGATGCTCTCAGAAGCTCTCGGAAGCTCTCGTAGGCTCTCAGAAGCTCTCAGAGGCCCTCAGAGGCTCTCAGTGGTTCTCGGCCCCGCAGCCTGAAACCCACCAACGCCAAACAGCCCCCTCATTGCATGCGAGGGCGATTCCTCGAGCGCCGCCATCATCAAGGGGCGCGCGGTTGCTGGAGGCCGCACCTTGACATCGAAACCGAAGAACATGGATGGGTCCTGCCCGCGCCGCGGACGCGCGAGCCCCACGGGCTACCCCATGCGCCCTAGGATAGGACCGACCTCAGCGCTACGTTCTGGACGTCATCCGCACATCCAACCTCTCAGCCCCGCCGCAGCCCAGGAAGCTGCGCGCGGCCTCGCCCGCCTGACCTAGCACCAAGTTAGCAGCCGCACGTATGCCCTGCAACCTGATGCCCAACAACCGCCAAACTCTCTCCTAGGAACATGCGAGGGCGATTCCTTTCGCGCCACCATCATCAAGGGGGGCGCGGTTGCGGAGGCCGCACCTTGACATCGAGACCGAAGAGCATGGAGGGTCCTGCCCGCGCCGCGGATGCGCGAGCCCTGCGGCCTACCCCATGGGCCTTAGCATAGGACCGACATCAGCGCTACGTCCTGAACGTCATCCGCACATCCAACCTCTCAGCCCTGCCGCAGCCCAGGAAGCTGCGCGTGGCTTCGCCCGCCCGCCCTAGCCTCATGCCTGCAGCCGCGCACCCTACTCTCCGAAACCTGAAGCCCACCAACGCCAAGTTCTCCCCTAAGAACATGCGAGGGTGATTGCACTCACGCCGCCATCATCAAGGGGCACGCGGTTGCTGGAGGCCGCACCTTGACATCGAAACCGAAGAACATGGAGGGTCCTGCCCGTGCCGCGGACGCGCGAGCCCTGCGGCCTACGTACGTAGCCTCAATCAAGCCTGCATCCGCACGCCCTAAGCCCCGCAGCCCGAAGCCCACCAACGCCAAACAGTCCCCTAAGAACATGCGAGGGTGATTGCAATCGCACCACCATCATGAAGGGGCACGCGGTTGCTGAAGGCCGCACCGTGACTTCGGGACCGAAAAACATGGAGGGTCCCGCCCCCGCCGCGGACGCTCGTCGCCGAATCGTGAGCCCCGAACCCCAGCTTTGTCAGAACGAAGGAACAATGGCGCCAAACTGAAAAACATCGAGGATACCCTCCCCCAGGGTGCACAAGAACATGGAACAAAAACGAAGAACATAAGGGTACCCTCCCCGAACCACCGAAGTTCTTAAGCCTTGTGCCGGCCGTATAGTTGGTGCCCTCCGATCCGAGTCGCTGCCCGGACAGATCCGTCCCACTGTCTAGCGCGAGCCCCGGGCGGCATGCGCAGCACGGCGGGCCACCGCGGGCCCTCTCCCGGAGGGCGTCCCGGCGCGCCCCGGCCACCCACGCCGCGCCCGTGAGCAGCGGCCGCAGAGCGCAACGGCGCTGTGCCTGCTGAATTTTCCGCGAGCGCCGCCGGGTGGAGACGACTCAGGTCCAGGGCAGCTCTTGACACATGGGATTTTCAAATCTAGGAATTTTCATGCATGCTCAATGTATGAATCCATGTATGCATGAATTCATCTCTGTTTCTGGTACTCAATCCCTGCATTCTGAATACATGATCCGCACGCGGAGCATGTATCAAAACTGGCACTGTACCCAGGTCACCTGGAGATCTTCGCGGATCGCGCGCCGCGATGCGCGACGCGCGGCCATCTCCGCGCACTCGCGCGCTCTCGCGCCGCCGCCCCTGGAGAAGGGCAGCCGCTCCGGCCCAGACCGCGACGCGCGGAGCGCGATCGTCTTCGCGACCCCGTGGGTGACCTATAGCGTACGGCTGCCGAATCGGGAGAGGAACGCCCCGCCCACCCCCCTTTATTTGCTCCCTTGGCGAGGCGACGACACCGTCGCGATGCGAACATCCCTCTCCTCCTCCTCCTTGTCCTCCTCCTCCTCCTCCTCCTCCTCCTCCTCTTCCTCCTCCTTGTCCTCCTCCTCCTCCTCCTCCTCCTCCTCCGTTTCCTCCTCCTCCTCCTCCTCCTCCTCCTCCGTTTCCTCCTCCTCTGGGTCCTCGTGCTCCGCGCCTGCTCCCCCGAGGAATTTACACCTGGCGCAGCAGGTGGGTGGACTGGATGGTGGCAGTCGCTCGCAGCCCCGGCCCCCACATGCACCTCGGAACTCCCCAGGATGGCATCGAGGAGCGCCAAGGAAACCCCCATATCGACGCAGAATACGATCAATCGAAGCTGGCCCCAGGATCCACAGGGCGCCTGCAAGAGGCCCCAAGCGCCCCGACTAAGCCACAATCAAGCCCCACTGCGGCCCCATGAATATGGCGCCGCCCCATGTACCGCGGCCGCAGAGTCCAGAAGAGCGAAGGACATGGGATGAGAGTAATGGCGACGCAGCTGCTCTGCTACGGCATTTCATCGAGCGCTCCTCGCATACAGAACAGCACGATCGAAAGAAACACACCCTACGCTGCTCGACGGTGTCGGCTCGCGTGGCCAGCGTCGGCCGTTGCTGCCAACAGAAAAATGGATGCCATCGGGTAACGAGGGCACAGTGGCGGGGGGGCCCACACTTGCTTACCTTATGCTCCGTCGACCTTGGCCATGTGCTTGATGAGGTCAACAACACGGCACGAGTAGCCCCATTCGTTGTCGTACCAGGCCACGAGCTTCACGAACGTGGAGTCCAGCATGATGCCCGCCTTGGCATCGAAGGTGCTGGAGATGGGGCACGTCTCGAAGTCCGTGGACACGAGGGCCTCGTCGCAGTAGCCCAAGAACCCCTTCATGTCGCCCTCGGAGCGCCGCTTGATCTCGGCGCAGATCTCTTCGTAGGTCGTCGCCTTCTCCAGCTCGCAAGTGAGGTCCACGACCGACACGTCGATCGTGGGCACGCGGAAGGCCATGCCCGTGAGCTTGCCCGCCACCTCCGGCACGACCTTCGCCACCGCCTTGGCCGCCCCGGTGGAGGAGGGGATGATGTTGCCAGATGCCGCACGGCCACCGCGCCAGTCCTTCTTCGACGCCCCGTCCACGGTTGGCTGAGACGCGGTCATGGCGTGGATAGTAGTCATCAGGCCCCGCTTGATACCGAACGCGTCGTTGATGGCCTTCACCATGGGGGCGAGGCCGTTGGTGGTGCACGATGCGCACGACACGCAACTCATGTCACTCTTGTAGGTGTCCTGGTTCACGCCCATCACGATGGTGTGGCTGTCGTCCTTGGCCGGGGCCGAGAACACGACCTTCTTCGCGCCCGCCTTGAGGTGCGGCTGGATCTTCTCGTCGGTCAGGAACACGCCGGTGGACTCGCAGACGTACTCCGCCCCGTGCTCCTTGAAAGGGATCTCAGCCGGGTCGCGGGTGTGCGACAGGGCCACCTTGTGCCCATCGATCACCAAGGAGTCCCCGTCGACCTCGATGGTGCCGTCGTACCTGCCGTGGATCGAGTCGTACTTCATCTGGTCCGCCACCGTGCCCCCTGGCACGTTGCGGCGTGGCAGAATGCCAAGGGCTGTCTGGTAGGGCTTCTGTCAATCTTCGAAGGGACCCCCCCTCCAGGTCACGCCCAGTCGCGTGCACCACCGCCCTCTCCAGAGGCGGCCCCGACGCCTCCCTGGGGCTGCCCAAGGTCTGCAGAAAGCCCGCCATGGGTTCCAAGACGACCCAAGCAAGCCACCGAGGCCACCAAGATGCCTCCCAAATGGCCCAACATGGCCTCACGCCGGCCCACGAAGCCCCGAAGTACAGCCCAAGAGGGCTCCAAGACGACCAAGACGACCCCTCGGTGCCCCAAGAGGGCCTCAAGACTGCCCAAAGAGGCCCCCGAGACGGACTCCGAAGACGCCAGACTGCCCAAGAGCGCCCTAAGGCGTTCCAAGGAGCCTCCAAGAGGCCCTCGGGAGGCCCTCGGGAGGCCAAAAAGGCCCCGAGAGGCCCCCATGAAGCCCCCTAGAGGACACAAGAGGCTCCAAGAGAGGAGGAAGAAGGGGAAGGGAGGAAGACGCCGACAAACACGAGGAGAGACACCTCGACACGACGCGGAAGAGCGTCTCACGTTTTACGGCTATTTCTTTCTCTCTCTCTCTCTCTCTCTCTCTCTCCCTCTCTCTACGCCAAGGAGGAGTTGAGGCGTGTTAGAATACTGGCCCAAGAGGGCCCAAAAAGCAGCCCAAGAGGGCCCCGAGGCGGCAAAAAAGGCCCCGAGGAGCCGTGCCCAAGACAGCCCCCAGACGGCCAAAATAAGACCCCCTGAGAGCTCCTCAAGAAGTCCATACGAGAGGTGTCACGAGCGACGGCCTTCTGGGCGACGATCGGAAGGTCGTCGCGCCGAGTGCTTCGCTGGCACGGTGGCGGACGCGCCGCAGGCAGCTGGATAGGCGAGGTACTCGGCGTCGTAGCTCGCGTTCACGAGCTTCAACTCCGTCTCCGGGTCCTTCATGACGATGCGGGCCACCTGGCGCCCGATGCGCCCGAAGCCGTTGATGCCCACACCGACCGCCTGCCTGGCCACCTTGGCGGAGGAGCGACGGCGGCTCGCGGCCGCGCCCACGACGCCAGCCGCCACGAGCGAGCACGCGGCGGCGGTGTTGAAGCCCGAGCTCGCGCCGCTCTCGACGCGCGGCTCGGAGAGGGAGGCGCGGAGGGCCGGCGAAGGGCGCTGGGCCGGGGCGGCGGGGACGCCCACGAAGCAGGACACGGAGTCGCACAGCGCCATGACGCCACCGACGAAGGGGGACTCTGACGAGGCTGCGCAAAATCGTGGCAGGACTGCCAACAGAAAACGACTCGAGTCGAAACGGCTACGGAGCTAGCCAGATCGGAGCAGCACTCCCCATCTCCTCCCCTCCCCGTGGACACCCTCGTGGCGCTCCCAGCTCCCCAGACTCCCGCACCTGACAGGGCCGCTGCCGATCCCGAGGGCCTGCGAGCAGGAAAGCCAGATCGCCCTCAGAGTCCTGAAGAGATGAGGAAACTCGATGAGGATCGCGACGACGCAGCTGCTAGGCGAGAGCGTTTTATCGAGCGCTCGTTGCACCCAGATTAGAACGATCCGAATAAACACACGTTGCGCTGATCGACGGTGTCGGCTCGCGTGGCCAGTGTCGGCCGTTGCTGCCAACAGAAAAATCTGCCACCCTTCCTGCACGATGCTTGGCGTGTCAGAATGACGAGCTTCCAGAGCCCCCCCTGCCCTTGGTAGCACCTCTTTGCGTGAACCGCCGCCCCCTCCTGGGCCTCCTGGCCCGTGGCACGGTGGCGGAACGTGCCACAGGCACCTGAATCTGCCGCCCCCTGTCGATTCATCGCAGGAGTGCCTGGCGTGCTAGATGATTTCGGTTTTGGTTTGGGTTCTTCTCCAAAAGAACTCCCCCTGGGGCTCCGGCGCTTCCCGCCGGGGTCCCGGGAAGGATCTCAAAACGCATCCGTCGATGCCTTTGTTGCCCCAAGTTGGCCCAAGATGGCCTCCAAGATGGCCAAGATGGCCTCTAAGTTCGCCCAAGATGGTCCAAAATGGCCTCCAAGACGGCCCAAGAGGGTCCAAGATGCCTTCTAAATCGTCCAAGAAGCCTCAAAAGGGCCAAGATGGCTCCAAGATGGCCTCGAGATGGCCCAAGAGGGTGCCAAGAGGTCCCCCAGGAGAGCCCGAAGAGGCCAAAATCATTGATATTCCATTGGTTCTTGAATGATTTTGACATATGCTTCTTTTAAGCCTTCCCGCTGTCCAAGACGGCCCAAGAGGCCCCCAAGATCGCCCCCAGAGCACCCACGAGGCCTCCAAGATGGCCCCATGACGGCCCAAGAGGCCCCCAAGACGGCCCCAAGAGGGCCCCAAGACGGGCCAAGAGGCCTCCAAGACGCCCAAGATGTCCTCCAAGACGGCCCCGAAGCGCCCCAAGAGGGCCCCAAGCCGGTTCAGAGAGGCTCCCAAGACGGCTCCCGACGGCGTCAGACGGGCCAGGAACCCACCAAGATGGCCGAAGTTGGCTCGAAGCTGGCCCAAGACGGCCCAAGAGGTCTCCACGATAGCCTCCAGGAAGGCCAGAAAAGGTATCAAAACACGGATTTCCCTATGAAGGATTTTGACATTTGCTTCTTTCGGCCTTCCGACGGCCCGAGACGGCCCAGAAGCCCCCAAAGATCGCCCAAAGATCGCCCAAGAGGCCTCCAAGATGGCCCCAGAACGGGCCAAGAGGCCACCAAGACGGCCCCAAGAGGCCCCCAAGACGGCACAGGAGGCCTTTAAGACGCCCAAGATGGCCTCCAAGACGGCCCTGGAGCATTCCAAGAGGGCCCCAAGTCGGCACAGAGAGGCCCCCCAAACGGCTTCCGACGGCGTCAGACGGGCCAGGAGCCCACCAAGACGGCCGAAGATGGCCCTAAGATGGCCCAGGAGGCCTCCAAGAGGGCCTCCAGGAAGGTCCGAAAAGGCAAAAATCATTGATTTCCCTTAGGTTGTTGAAGGATTGTGGGCATTTGCTTTTTGTTCGGCCTTCCGACGGCCCGAGACGGCCCAAGTGCCCCCAAAGATCGCCCAAGAGGCCCAAGACGGCCCCAAGAGGCCCCCAAAACAGGAAGCTCCAGAGAATGGCCTCCAAGACGGCCCAAGAGCCCTCCAAGACGTCCTCCAAGAAGGCCCGAAAGGGTCAAAATAGCCTCCAGACGGCCAAGATGACCTTCAAGATGCCCACGTGTTCCCCGAAGGCTTTCCAAACCGATTCGGGGAACACATGGTCCGATAGCTTGGCAGGTCTGGCCTCAACGTTCGGCCACATAGGCGCTTCCAAAAAGGCAGGGGGCGGCGGTGATTCGCCGTAGGCGTCTTCGATAAAATCGGTCGGGGAGAGAGAGTGCACAAGTGGCGGGGGGGCCACACTTGCTCACCTTATGCTCCATCGACCTTGGCCATGTGCTTGATCAGGTCAACAACACGGCACGAGTAGCCCCACTCGTTGTCGTACCAGGCCACGAGCTTCACGAACGTGGAGTCCAGCATGATGCCCGCCTTGGCATCGAAGGTGCTGGAGATGGGGCACGTCTCGAAGTCCGTGGACACGAGGGCCTCGTCGCAGTAGCCCAAGAACCCCTTCATGTCGCCCTCGGAGCGCCGCTTGATCTCGGCGCAGATCTCTTCGTAGGTCGTCGCCTTCTCCAGCTCGCAAGTGAGGTCCACGACCGACACGTCGATCGTGGGCACGCGGAAGGCCATGCCCGTGAGCTTGCCCGCCACCTCCGGCACGACCTTCGCCACCGCCTTGGCCGCCCCGGTGGAGGAGGGGATGATGTTGCCAGATGCCGCACGGCCACCGCGCCAGTCCTTCTTCGACGCACCGTCCACGGTTGGCTGAGACGCGGTCATGGCGTGGATAGTAGTCATCAGGCCCCGCTTGATACCGAACGCGTCGTTGATGGCCTTCACCATGGGGGCGAGGCCGTTGGTGGTGCACGATGCGCACGAGACGCAACTCATGTCACTCTTGTAGGTGTCCTGGTTCACGCCCATCACGATGGTGTGGCTGTCGTCCTTGGCCGGGGCCGAGAACACGACCTTCTTCGCGCCCGCCTTGAGGTGCGGCTGGATCTTCTCGTCGGTCAGGAACACGCCGGTGGACTCGCAGACGTACTCCGCCCCGTGCTCCTTGAAAGGGATCTCAGCCGGGTCGCGGGTGTGCGACAGGGCCACCTTGTGGCCATCGATCACCAAGGAGTCCCCGTCGACCTCGATGGTGCCGTCGTACCTGCCGTGGATCGAGTCGTACTTCATCTGGTCCGCCACCGTGCCCCTGGCACGTTGAGGCGTGGCAGAATGCCAAGGGCTGTCTGGTAGGGCTTCTGTCAATCTTCGAAGGGACCCCCCCTCCAGGTCACGCCCAGTCGCGTGCACCACCGCCCTCTCCAGAGGCGGCCCCGACGCCTCCCTGGGGCTGCCCAAGGTCTGCAGAAAGCCCGCCATGGGTTCCAAGACGACCCAAGCAAGCCACCGAGGCCACCAAGATGCCTCCCAAATGGCCCAACATGGCCTCACGCCGGCCCACGAAGCCCCGAAGTACAGCCCAAGAGGGCTCCAAGACGACCAAGACGACCCCTCGGTGCCCCAAGAGGGCCTCAAGACTGCCCAAAGAGGCCCCCGAGACGGACTCCGAAGACGCCAGACTGCCCAAGAGCGCCCTAAGGCGTTCCAAGGAGCCTCCAAGAGGCCCTCGGGAGGCCCTCGGGAGGCCAAAAAGGCCCCGAGAGGCCCCCATGAAGCCCCCTAGAGGACACAAGAGGCTCCAAGAGAGGAGGAAGAAGGGGAAGGGAGGAAGACGCCGACAAACACGAGGAGAGACACCTCGACACGACGCGGAAGAGCGTCTCACGTTTTACGGCTATCTCTCTCTCTCTCTCTCTCTCTCTCCCTCTCTCTACGCCAAGGAGGAGTTGAGGCGTGTTAGAATACTGGCCCAAGAGGGCCCAAAAAGCAGCCCAAGAGGGCCCCGAGGCGGCAAAAAGGCCCCGAGGAGCCGTGCCCAAGACAGCCCCCAGACGGCCAAAATAAGCCCCCCCTGAGAGCTCCTCAAGAAGTCCATACGAGAGGTGTCACGAGCGACGGCCTTCTGGGCGACGATCGGAAGGTCGTCACGCCGAGTGCTTCGCTGGCACGGTGGCGGACGCGCCGCAGGCAGCTGGATAGGCGAGGTACTCGGCGTCGTAGCTCGCGTTCACGAGCTTCAGCTCCGTCTCCGGGTCCTTCATGACGATGCGGGCCACCTGGCGCCCGATGCGCCCGAAGCCGTTGATGCCCACACCGACCGCCTGCCTGGCCACCTTGGCGGAGGAGCGACGGCGGCTCGCGGCCGCGCCCACGACGCCAGCCGCCACGAGCGAGCACGCGGCGGCGGCGGTGAAGCCCGAGCTCGCGCCGCTCTCGACGCGCGGCTCGGAGAGGGAGGCGCGGAGGGCCGGCGAAGGGCGCTGGGCCGGGGCGGCGGGGACGCCCACGAAGCAGGACACGGAGTCGCACAGCGCCATGGCGCTACCGACGAAGGGGCTCTGACGAGGCTGCGCAAAATCGTGGCAGGACTGCCAACAAAAACGACTCGAGTCGAAACGGCTACGGAGCGAAGCCAAATCGGAGCAGCACTCCCCAGCTCCTTCCCTCCCCGTGGACATCCTCGTGGGGCTCCCAGCTACCCGGACGCCCACCCCTGACAGGGCCGCTGCCGATCCCGAGGGCCTGCGAGCAGGAAAGCCAGATCGCCCTCAGAGTCCTGAAGAGATGAGGAAATTCGATGAGGATCGCGACGACGCAGCTGCTAGGCGAGAGCGTTTTATCGAGTGCTCGTTGCATCCAGATTAGAACGATCCGAATAAACACACGTTGCGCTGATCGACGGTGTCAGCTCGCGTGGCCAGCGTCGGCCATTGCTGCCAACAGAAAAATCTGCCACCGTTCCTGCACGATGCTTGGCGTGTCAGAATGACGAGCTTTCAGAGCCCCCCCTGCCCTTGGTAGCACCTCTTTGCGTGAACCGCCGCCCACTCCTGGGCCTCCCGGCCCGTGGCACGGTGGCGGAACGTGCCACAGGCACCTGAATCCGCCGCCCCCTGTCGATTCATCGCAGGAGTGCCTGGCGTGCTAGATGATTTCGGTTTTGGTTTGGGTTCTTCTCCAAAAGAACTCCCCCTGGGGCTCCGGCGCGTCCCGCCGGGGTCCCGGGAAGGATCTCAAAACGCATCCGTCGATGCCTTTGTTGCCCCAAGTTGACCCAAGATGGCCTCCAAGATGGCCAAGATGGCCTCTAAGTTCGCCCAAGATAGTCCAAAATGGCCTCCAAGACGGCCCAAGAGGGTCCAAGATGCCTTCTAAATCGTCCAAGAAGCCTCAAAAGGGCCAAGATGGCTCCAAGATGGCCTCGAGATGGCCCAAGAGGGTGCCAAGAGGTCCCCCAGGAGAGCCCGAAGAGGCCAAAATCCGCCGACCCCTTGGGGATCATCGGCGTGTGAGATGCTTCCCCCTCCCCAAACCCCTCCCCCGGGAGCCCGGTCCGGTCGATTTGGAGGGGGGGGGGGTCCGGGACGAGCGCTCCACGGGGCTTTTCCTGGCCCAAGAGGGCTTCAAGACGGGCCACGAAGCCCCCAAGAGGCCTCCAAGACGGCCCACGAAGGCTCCGAGAAGCAAACGACCGCTCCAAGACGCCCACGATGGCCCCAAGACGGGCCAAGAGGTCTCCAAGACGGCCCCTGAGGTCCCAAATGAGCCTCCCAAGAAGGCCCAAAGAGTCAAAAATTGCTGATTTTCCATAGTGTTCTTCGACGTTTTTTGCTTTTCCGCCTTTCCGGCTTCCCGACGCTCCAAGACGCGCGACGAGGCCCCAAAGATAGCCCCAAGATGGCCCAAGAGGCCCCCAAGACGGCCTCCAGACGGCCCAAGACGGCCCCAAGACGGCCCAAGAGGTCCCCAAGACGGCCCAAGAGGGCTCCAAGACGGCACCACGAGGGGCCCAAGAGGGCGACCAAACATTTTGAAACTCTAGCTTTCTGCCCCCAGGAGCCCCAGGGGGCCCCAAGAGTGCCCCAAGAGGCCCCCAGAGGCCCTCACGAGGCCGCCCAGACGCCCCAAGGAACCCCCAAGAAGCACCCCAGAGGCTCCGAAACGGCCCACGAGTGGCTCCAAAACTCGCAGTGTCGCTGTCCGCTCGGACCTCCCCGCGGAACTGCCCGAGACCCTCTGGCGGTGGCGGCGAACAGACACCAAACAAATATCACTCGCCTTTTCACCCCTTCGCAGATTCTACTACCCCCAGATTGGCATAAACAAGGGGTCGGCGGTGTGGCGTAAGCCTAAGATTCATTGATTTTCATTGGTTCTTGAATGATTTTGACATATGTTTTTTATAGCTTTCCGCTGTCCAAGACGGGCCAAGAGGCCCAAGATCGCCCCAGAGCACCACGAGGCTCCAAGATTGGCCCACGACGGCAAAGGGCCCCCAAGACGGCCAAGAGGGCCCCAAGACGGGCCAAGGGCTCCAAGAAGCCAAGATGTCCTCCAAAGACGGCCCGAAGCGCCCCAAGAGGGCCCCAAGCCGGTTCAGAGAGGCTCCCAAGACGGCTCCCGACGGCGTCAGACGGGCCAGGAACCCACCAAGATGGCCGAAGTTGGCTCGAAGCTGGCCCAAGACGGCCCAAGAGGTCTCCACGATAGCCTCCAGGAAGGCCAGAAAAGGTATCAAAACACGGATTTCCCTATGAAGGATTTTGACATTTGCTTCTTTCGGCCTTCCGACGGCCCGAGACGGCCCAGAAGCCCCCAAAGATCGCCCAAAGATCGCCCAAGAGGCCTCCAAGATGGCCCCAGAACGGGCCAAGAGGCCACCAAGACGGCCCCAAGAGGCCCACAAGACGGCACAGGAGGCCTTTAAGACGCCCAAGATGGCCTCCAAGACGGCCCTGGAGCATTCCAAGAGGGCCCCAAGTCGGCACAGAGAGGCCCCCCAAAAGGCTTCCGACGGCGTCAGACGGGCCAGGAGCCCACCAAGACGGCCGAAGATGGCCCTAAGATGGCCCAGGAGGCCTCCAAGAGGGCCTCCAGGAAGGTCCGAAAAGGCCAAAATCATTGATTTCCCTTAGGTTGTTGAAGGATTGTGGGCATTTGCTTTTTGTTCGGCCTTCCGACGGCCCGAGACGGCCCAAGTGCCCCCAATGATCGCCCAAGAGGCCCAAGACGGCCCCAAGAGGCCCCCAAAACGGCCCAGGAAGCCTCCAAGACGCTCAAGATGGCCTCCAAGACGGCCCAAGAGCCCTCCAAGACGTCCTCCAAGAAGGCCCGAAAGGGTCAAAATGGCCTCCAGACGACCAAGATGACATTCAAGATGCCCACGTGTTCCCCGAAGGCTTTCCAAACCGATTCGGGGAACACATGGTCCGATAGCTTGGCAGGTCTGGCCTCAACGTTCGGCCACATAGGCGCTTCCAGAAAGGCAGGGGGCGGCGGTGATTCGCCGTAGGCGTCTTCGATAAAAGCGGTCGGGGAGAGAGAGTGCACAGTGGCGGGGGGGCCCACACTTGCTCACCTTATGCTCCGTCGACCTTGGCCATGTGCTTGATCAGGTCAACAACACGGCACGAGTTAGCCCACTTCGTTTGTCGTTACCAGGCCAGGGGGGGTCTCACGGGAGTCCAGGCATGATGCCGCTCTTGGCATCGAAGGTGCTGGAGGATGGGGTCGTCCAGCGCGGGACTCCGAGGACACGAGAGCCTCGTCGCAGTAGCCCAAGTATCCCTTCATGCCGCCCTCGGAGCGCCTCTTGATCTCGGCGCAGATCTCCACGTAGGTCGTCGCCTTCTCCAGCCCACAGGTGAGGTCCACGACCGACACGTCGATGGTGGGC